ACCGTGTCCGACGGCCCCGGGGCCTATAGCAGCGGGACCCATGGGACCGAAGTCGAAGCGAGGCGCCCAGGCTTCAAAGATCACATCGTCGGAGACGTGGGCCCATATCTCTGTTTCGGTCCTGAACCGCCTCCTCCAACTCATCCTCCTCCTCCGCCGCCTCCTCCTCCGCCTCCTCCGCCTCCTCCGCCTCCAACCCCGAACAGGGCAGCGTGAGGTGTGGGACTTCGTGGGCCCTGGGGCGGCAATGTATTTTTTATAGTTTCTAACGGCTATCTCTGCACCATGAAAACGGAACCAAGAAAACGGTCCACCGAAACTGTGAAACAACGGTTCACCGAAACTGCCTGTGTTGGGATCCGAAGGACGTTCGGAACTCGTTCGGAAACGGTGCGGATCTGGTCAACAGAAAATGACCTGGACCAAATCCCCACGAAGGGAAACGAACGGCGCCAGACACATCAACAAAAGCGTCGCCAGAAATCGCATCGGATCGAAATCGGGAATCCATCGAAATCGAACGGAATGTAGATCGGAATCGAAATCCATCGAATCGCATCGAAATCAAATCGGAGTCGGAATCCATCGAAATCGAATCGCATCGAGATCGAAATCGGAAGAGTGGGGGGGGGAGAAGGGGCGGGGAGGAGGCCCGGAGACGGAGGCGTGGCGAGGAGAGGCGGGGTGGCAGGAGCAGCGGGGAGCAGGGGAACCGGCGCTGCCAGAGGTGCCCCGGGCCCGGGGTGCCCCCCGGGATTTCCACGGGAGGCCTCCGCGAGGGAGCCCACAGAGGACGTGCGCGCCCGACCACGTGCACGAAGACGGCGCCCCAGTCCGCGAGACCAGCCTCGCGATGCGAACGTTCGCGCAGTGCGTGCCTTCGGCACCAACGTGGCTCCGTGTACGTGCGCGTCCTTCTCTCGCTCCTGAGCCGAGCGACGCGCGGGAAGGAGAGGCCACGTGCTCTGGGAAGGGAGGCGCCGATGCCCGGGCCACGATCTCTTCCCACGGCAAGCGACACCCGTGGCAGCAGGGCTGAGCGAGCGCGCACGCGATGGCTCTGTGCGCCCAAGTAGGAGGACGGACGACTTCTTGGCCTGGCGCTGGAGACCCCCTCTCTGGCGTGCGGCGCGCGCCGGGGGCGGCGCCGGAGGCCCCTCTCGGGGGTCGATCCGAGGAAGCCGCGCGGACCTGCGGCGGTTTCTTTTCATGTCATGGCGTGGTCTGAGGACGACGCCGAGGAGGAGGAGCATGAGCACAAGGATCCAAGCGGGGGGATACCCACCAGCCCCAAGAAGCAACTGGCAACATGAAGCAGGAATGGCCGCGAGGGCCCCGAGAGGCCAAAATCAGCCAATTCCCTGGGAACGCATACATTTTCAGCACGTTCGCATTGTACGTTTCAACAACGAATACGACGGCCCAAGTGGGCCCGAAGATCGCCCCAAGACGGCCCATGATGCCTTCAAGAAGGCCCCAAGACGGCCAAAGAGGGCCCACCGACAGCCCAAGGGGCCCCCTAAGACGGCACAAGACAGCCCCTGGAGGGCCCCAAGAGGGCTCTGAGAAAACCCAAGAGGAGGAATCTTACCAGCCCTCTGGGCGTGAGTGATTTAGAGAGTCTCCTCTGTCCAACTACCTTCTTCTCCACCTCCCCCTGCCCCCTGGGACCGCGGGTCGTTGGAGCGTCTGTATTAACCTAAGATTGAGCCAAGACAGCACAAGAGAGCTCAAGATGACGTCCAAGATCGCTCAAAATAGCCCTCGATGACTCAAGAAAGCTCCTGACAAGCCTACACGAGGCTCCAAGACCGCCCCATGACGACCCCAATTGGCCACAGAGCCTCCCAAGAACGCCCCCGAGAAGCCCAAATCCTTGAAAAACCCGCGGAGAATACATGTTTGCTCCCTTCTCGCCTTTTCCCTTTCAATGGGCTCTTGAGGCTTCAAGGTGGGCCAAGAGAGCCCGAAGACAGGCCCCAGAGAGGCCCAAGACGGGCCCAAGAGTGCCCTAAGAGCGGCCCAAGAAGACCCCAAGAGGTCACGTTTCGGGTTCCGAAGGGGGGACCGTCATTGACGCCGCGCTCCTGTTGGAGTCGTGGCCTCCAAGCCGGTCCCCAAAGACCTCCCAGGCCCCCGCCAAAGAGCCCCAATGGGGGCCCCAAGACCCCCAAAAGCGCTCCAAGGGTGCCCCAAGAGGCAGCATGGGGACCCGAGCAGGGCCCAGGAGCCTTCAACATATCCTCAAGAAGGCCCCTAGATGGCTCCAACATGCCTCCAAGAGGCTCTCAGAGAGAAAGGCCCAGAAAAGGCGATGATGGTTGACTCGTCGTCGTCGTCGCCGTAGTCGTCGTCGACTTCGTCGTCGGCGTCGTCGCGGTCGTCGTCGTCGTCGTCGTCGTGGTCGTCGTCGTCGTCGTCGTCGTCGTCGTCGTAGTCGCCGTTGCTGTCGTGGTCGTCTTTGTCGTCGTCCTCGTTGCCGTTTTTGTGATCATCGCCGTCGTCGCCGCTATCTTCCTCTCGTCTGCCATCTCTTTCTCTTCTTCCTCCTCCTCCTCCTCCTCCTCCTCCACCCCATCCTCCTCCCCCTCATCCCACAAGGAAGAGCTAAACGGGAGCAGGCGGGGTCGTCGTAGTCGTTGTCGTCGTCTTCGTCGTCGTCGTCGCGGTCGTCGTCGTCGTCGGCGTCGCCGTCGTTGCCGTCAGGGTCGTTGTCGTCGTCGTCGTCGTTGTTGTGGTCATCGCCGTCGTCGCCGCTATCTCCCTCTCGTCTCCCGCCGCCGCCTCTTCTTCTTCCTCCTCCGCCTCGTCCCCCACCCACTCCTCCCACAATGGAAGAGCTAAAACGGAGCAGGAGGGATGCAGGAGGAACAGGATGGTAGACTCGAGGGCAGGAGAAGGTACGCCCGAAAACTACGATTGCCAATATGTTTCGCACAAATTGCTGTGTTGGGATGAAGTGTTGGGGATATGCGAAACGTGAAGAAAACTAACTGAAATTTTGAGCCTTGCCGACCACGATGGCCCCCAAGGGCCCTCCAAGAGGGTCCAAGAAGCCTCCAAGACGCCCCCAAGAAGCCCCCAAGAGGCCCCCACGAGGGCCCAAAATGCCTCACACATCCCCCAACAGTTCTCCCAGATGTCCCAGAGAGGCATCCCGAGAGACCCTCAGATTCATCCAGGAGGCTCCTGACCCAAGATATACCTTTCACGCTCGTCTCAAACACTCACTCCTTGTGGGGGTCGGCGGAATGGCGCAAGCGACTTGAATAGATGAGGATCTGGAAAGCTAGAAACACATACTTTCAACGACTGGCGTGTAAGGCCACTTACACTGCGTCTTGGAGTTTCGGAGGTCCGAGCCTCTTTTTCTCAGAAACCAGTGGCGCAGTGGATGTGGATGCAATCTGGCCCGTAGAGGCTACATGTTTATGCACATCCACTGAGCCACGACCTTTTGGCGCCCCTTCTCAGAAAAGTCCCAGACGCAGTGGACTCGGGTAGCAGTCTTGCCCGCAAAAGCCGCGCAACTCCGCCGCCGCCTCGGATGGAGGGATGTTGAAGAGGCCCGGGACCCTGTACTCGTCTACGAGCCTGGGGGGGCGCGCTCGCATCCGGGCCGCGCCGCCAGGAGAGCGCGGGAGAGGAGCCGTGGGAAGCGAGGGCGAGGTATGGGGGTGGGGGGGAGGCGGCCACGGAGAGGATTTGTTGTTTTTAGACCACCCATGGGGTGCAATGGTGTTGTTAAGATGTTACGCGTAACTCAGATTCTTCGTGTGAGGCGCCTCGGCCAACGCTTATGGCCAGTGAGGTATAGCAATCAGCACGGGTCTCGTTGGACGGAGCCACGCGCAAACACATTCAGTCATAATCTCCTGACGAATCTCGCAACAGACGCGCAGCGTCAGATAATTTATGCGGAGTGCACGCACCGTGTAGCAAAGGACGGTGCTGCGTCGGTGCTCGTTTGCTGGGTATCCGCGTAGTACCCATTGGTGCCGTGGCGGTGTTCGTGAGCCTGGCCGTATTGATCGTCTGCCGCCTTTCTCTCTGAGATTTGTCACTAAGAGGTTGGGTCGGATGAATGCCCAAGTGTATTCGCTTAAATGTGATCCCTCTTGTCGTAGGTCGACCTCCGTTGGGTATGTAGGGCTTGGCGAGAATTACCATGCGCGTGGTGGCAAAGCTCCCACCTACCGAACAGATATCCATATTGAGATCATCCGATGAAATCAGGCTCTGTGTGGGCGTGAAACTTACCGAGTGAACTCGCAGTCGTACTCGATCTGCCAGGCTCGGTACATCTCCCACCGGCGCGCCCCAGTCTGCAAGGCTCGTTGAGGAATCCAGCTGCTGAGGGTCGAGAGGCGCTCTTGCCACGATCCAAGCATCGCAATCCACCATTCCCCCACACCAATGAACAGTGATCAGTAATCCCTAGCCTCGTGAGCTCCACCTTCTTTGCGATCGGCTCCTCCGCTTTGTGCTCATTATTATCCTTGACCACATCGGTGAAGCCTTCGATAGGGTATGATCTGATAGCGCCTCCCATTGCATCAATCAATTCCATTGTGCTCGCATCAGAACCAGATACTGCAACCTGCACCGCCAGGTGCTACGCTGCTTTGTCTGCCGCATCATTTACCAAGAAGTAGACCATGTTGGCACCTCTCGAAAAAGCATCCTGGGGGGGCCATGTGTGACTCGATCTTGATGACGACGACATTGCGTGAATAATACTGCTCATACGAGATCTTGACTAGATACCGAAGATCTTGATTTGAACAATGTTTTACTCTTGCAAAGTCTTTCGCAACACTACAGTTAACATATGCTGAATTAGTAACATACGTTAGCTGTTTGCAATCAGAGGCGGTAGTGAGGGCCGTAATGAAAACTGTCGGTTCACCTCTGTTGATTGATTGTCTATTTCCTGAAGTCCTACCCCTCCCATCCGTTACCCACGCCATGCCTAGCATGGCATAGGCGAGCGAGGGCCAGGCATGCAGTCAAAGCTGATAGCAAGGATGCCTGATTTGGATGCATGCCGCCCTCGGACGCCCATGTCGAAGCCTGTCGAGCGGGGCCCACCATCGAAAGCGGTCAAGGGTTTTCGGTCTCGTGCGTGCTTTTTGTTTGCTCTCGCCGAGACAAACGTGCACACGTCCGCGCGATGCCGAGGCGGGGGGTGGAGATCGGGAGCTCTGCCCCTCGAGGGGCCCGAGGCAGGGCCGAGCCAACTGGCGGCGAGCCCGCCGGCGTGCGCGGCCGGGCCGCAGCTCCCCCGCGACGGGTACGAGTGCGCCCAAGGCCCTGGCCATCGCTCGGACGTCAATTCCCTGTGCTTTTTTCGGTTTCGTGCGTGGCTTTTTCGCAGGATGATCGAGGATACTCTTTAATAATCCCCGCCGGGAAAAAAATACACACGTCCGAGCGATACCAAGGGCCAGTGCGACGAGCACCCCCGCGGCCGGGATGCAAAGGGGCTTCTGAAACAACAGAGGCCTCCGGGATGGGGTCGGAGTAGATGGTGTCGGATGGTCGCGCCGCATCGGCGACGCATCGTCGACGTCGGCGATGCATCGGCGTCGTCGACGTAAAGCAAATCGAGCTCCACATCGAGCCATATCGGCAATGCATCGGCAATGCGGCGCGATCCTCCGACCCCATCTACTCGGACCCCATCTAGGAGGCCTAGACAATGAGAATTCAGAACAAGCACAAACAGTGTAAGCATAACCTGTTGACGGTCCGCGCGGATCTCCTGGATCCGCACCAGGCCCCCTCCCTGGCGCGCTCTGGCACCGGAGGCGCTGCCAGGCGGGCCCATTGCCGATCCCGAGACATCCGACCGGGACGTCGAAAGATTATGTATATGCCGTGCTCTGTTCTTCGGATAATGGCGGCGCGAGGGGGGGAGGGGGAGGGGGGAAGGCTTCCCAGAAGGAGGCTACTTCTCAGAGGGCGCCCGCCTCACATCTATAGGTAAGGCCCGCGACTTCTAAGAAGCAGGGTGCTTCTTGGAAGCCTTCCCCTCTTCCCCTACCCCCCTCTGCGCGTGGCCGACAATGAATCAGGAACCAAACCCCCCTTTGGCCCCCAAAGCGCCTGCGTGCACAAGGAGGGCTAGAGGAACAGCCATGGGAGGACCTGAGGAACATCGCCACCCCGCCGCACCCAAACTGTTCCTTGTTTCAGCGTCTTCCTCCTCCTCCTGCTCCTCCTCCTCCTCCTCCTTCCCCTCCTCCTCGTCCTGCTCCTCCTTCTCCTCCTTCTGCGCATACGAGGCGAGCGCTGCTCCAGGGTTCCCTCCTCGGCCCTGTCGGCGTCTGAGCCCGTTTCGCCGCCGAGCAGGCAGCCGAACGGGCTCAGCTTTCCGACGGGGTCGCAGAGTGGGGAAGCCAAAAGGTACCGACACCGCCACTCCCCGGACCTCTCCCGATGGCCTGGCTCCGCCGCGGGTGATTTACGATCCAGAACATCGAGACACACATGCGTGTGTCTGTGTGTTTGTGTCGGAGGTTTGCGAGTACGGTAGGCTCGCGCGGCGTCGGCGCGGGCAAAGGTTTTTGACACCTCGTTCAGCCTTGAACCGATCGCGGCCCCGACCGTTCAATGTTGAATTCCGTCGGGTCCAGTGGCGTCATCGTGTCCCTCGGGGCTTCCATGTCGCAGAATTCAACCTGGAAAGCTTTTGCTGGCGTCGCCGGCCCGCCAACGCCCCACGAAACTATCGTATATGAGTAAACCAAAAGGTACCAATACCGCTACTCCCTGGACCTCTCCCGGGTGCGCTCTGACCAGAATTTCGAGACGAATCCAACGGTGGTGACGACCTTCGAGGAGGCCCAGCAAGGGAAAAGCGAGGGGCAAGCAGCGGTAATGGTACCTGTTCCTCCTCTGAATAATGGCTGAGCCCCGTTCGGCCGCCGGGTCCGTTCGACGCCCGAGCGCGCTCAGACGCCGAACGGGCCCGGGAGGGAAACCCGGAGAGGAGGAGGAGGAGGAGGAGAGGAGGAGAAAGAGGAGGAGGAGGAGGAGGAGGAGGAGGAGGAGGAGGAGGAGGAGGAGGAGGAGGAGGAGGAGGAGGAGTAGGAGGGATGAGGAGGAGGAGGATAAGGAGGAGGAGGAGGAGGAGGAGGAGGGGGGGGGGTGGCGCTGAAGAGGAGGGGGGGGAGCAGGCCGCGAGGGCTCGCGCAGCACAGCCCCCCCGCGGAGTAGGGCGGCCGGCTGCTGCAGGGTGTGCGGTGGGGGCAGCAGAGGTACAGACGGACTTGATTGGACAGGACACGCGAGAGGACACAAGATCCTTCCGAGGGCCGCATTGCCATAATAATGTAGGGGGCATGGGTCGCGAGACACAGGACACAAGGGTACACTTGTTTGGGCAGGGTCGACCCGCGTCGTGTCGACCCCGGCGATGGTTCCTGACACCTCATTCAAACTTGAACGATCGGCCGTTCCGTTGACGCCAGATTGTTCAACCACGGGCCGATTCTGGGCCACGGGCTGCGTTCAACCTTGAACGCACGCGCTGGGGTCGCCGCCGGTCGACACGACGCGAACCGGCCGTAGCACTCCATGGGGGCCAAGCTCGTCCATCAGCGAAGCGTGCAAAAGCCCAGAGGCCCCAAAACGCCTGGGGCGCTGACCCAACGGCGGAGATACCTCTGGAGTTCCAGAGGTGCTACCCGTCGGCGCAGCAGAACCAGTTGCCAGAGTACTCTGGGAGGGCGCGCTCCGAGGCGGGCATCCCAACGTCGCACCGCTGGAGGGGTCGGGGTCGGCCACTGCGGCAGGAGGCCCTCGACAGCAGGGGGAGGGAGACGGCGGTAATCAGCCGGGCAGCGGGGATGGGAGTAGGGGAGGGCAGGAGCTTCTGGGGGAACGAAGAATGACATAAACATAAAAAACTCTGAGGTTCGCGCGGATTTCTCGGATCGGCGCTGGGGCCCCCCAGCGGCGCCTCCGGCGCCGCCCCTGGCCCTCCTCCTCCTCCTCCTCCTCCTCCTCCTCCTCCTCCTCCTCCTCCTCCGCGAATGGCCACGCCACGCTTCGCGCCAGCGCTGTCTGGGAGTGAGCTCTTCTTGTGGGCACATCCAGACGGCGCCCGCGCGACTCGTGACGTGACTTCGGGACGGGCGGACGGGCCGGGTCGGGCGGCCTCAGCGGGCGGGTCGGGGCGGGCGGGCGGGGCCTTGGAGTGCGACGCATCATCGAAATGGCACGCGCGCGCCGCGGCGGGCGGATCGGGTCGGGCGGGCCAGAGATGAAAGTACGACGCATCATCGAATTGACACTCGCGCGCTCGAACGGGCGGGCTGGGTTTGGAGGGCGGGCCGGGCCGCGCGGGGGTGGTGATGGAAGGGTTGCCCCAATGGGAGGCGAAGAAAAGCGCCCTCGAGATTGCAAGGGCTCCCTCGGGGCCCCCGCTGGCTCCAAGAGGGGCCCTGAGGTGTCCCTTGCGGACCCCTTCTCTTCACCCCTCGCTTGGGCCACCCCTCCGTAACCACACGCCCGACCCGGACACGCCCGCTCTCACCCAGGGATGCGGTAGGGGCCCGACCACAAGAAACCTTCCACAAGAAAACCCAACCCGGGAACCCCAGGACGTCCCTCGAGCTTTGGCCTGGGAGCGTCACGCCTTCCCTCGCGGAACCAGCGAAACCCTAGAAGCCCGGGGCGCCCTGCAGGCAAGTGGGGTGCTTCTTGGCACGGGCCTCCACTGCAGAGCAGCTGGTCTCGAAAGGGCGGCCGTGCGCCACCGCCGCCCCTGGCCAGGGGCCCTCCTGGGCAGCAGGGCCCTTGGAGCTGCGCTTGAGCAGGGACCGACCGTCCCGGCATTCCTGTAGGCCTGCCACGAAATTGCCATCAGAACCCCGAACTCTCTGATAACAGAAACACTACTCTTGGCACATAATCCCGACGCAAACATTTCGTGAGAACCACAAGAGGCTCTTTGAACAGTGTTCGGTAGGCCTCTAGGCACGCCAAGGCGCCTCGTTACTGCTCTGATGCACGGGGCGCCCGCCCGCCCGACGCGAGGGGAGGCCCGGCTCACCGAGGCCGGCGCGCGCCGGGGAGCGCGGCTCCTCGGGCAGGCCGCAGCGCGCGCGGGCCGCAGGGGGCCTCGGGCCGGAGCCGGGGGGGCACGCACGGGGAGCACGGGGGGAGGCGGCACTCTGGGCCTGGCCCGCCGGAGCGCGAGGGCCTGGCCTCTTCTGAGAAGGGCCTGCACCGGCTGCTCTCGTCTGCGGGCCTGCCGCGCGCAGGCTTGGCAGCCGCGGCTCCCCTGCGGCGGCCAGGCACGCCCGCCGACCTGCCGCGAGGGCATGCACAATCAAAGTGCGTTCTCGAGAGCACCACCTCGCCCGAGCATCACCCGTCTGAGCGCAAGCGCATTCGATCCTTTCCCGCGATGGCGGGCGCTATAGGTCGGGAAAGGAGGGGGGGAAGGGGGGAGGGCATAACGCAACTTCCCCCCCCCCAAGGCTGTGGTGCCGGACGCACTGCGGCAATGCTGGGGACACACGGGGGGAGGAGCGTTACGTTAGGGAGGCAGGGGTAGGGGAGGAGGCATAACGTGCGTTTCGGTCCAAAGTGTAAGACAACACTCTCTTACAGTGGAGGCCAGTCCACAAGAAATTCACCCCTAAGACCCCAAGGCGTCCCTTGATCCTTGGTGTGGGAACGTCGCGCTCTCCATCGCAGAACCATCGGAACCCAAGACCCCCGGGGCACCTTGGACGCAAGCAGGATGCCTCTTAGCATGGGTCCCCACTGCATCCCCGGAAGACGAACAAAAAAAACCTCGAGGGTCTGGGAGCGAGGAACCGAGACGAAACGTGGTCGTCCGGGCCGCCCGCAGCACACGCCGCGGCCCACCTTCGGGGGGGGGCCGAGCCGTCCGCCTGTTGAGCAGCTCCAGCTCCGCCCTGTCCCGGTCCACGTCGTCCTTGGCCTGGTTGGCCTTCGCGTCGCAGGTGCCCGGGCAGCATCCCTGCGGTGCGGAAGAGGGGGAACGAGGAGCAAGATGACACATTGTACACACAAGCGCACACACACACATATACGTAGCTCCCCGCAATTGCGGATAAGAGTGATGGGGGCGGGCGCAGGCGACGCGGGCGTCGTCAAGCCGGCGGACCTCGTGGCCCCCACCTTCCCTGTCGATGGCGCTCTCTTCCTCCTCTTCCTCCTCCGCCTCCTCCTCCTCCTCCTCCTCCTCCTCCTCCTCTTCCTCGTCCTCGTCCTCGTCCTCATCGTCATCGTCGTCCTCCTCCACCTCGTCCTCCTCCTCCTCCTCTTCTTCCTCGTCCTCCCTCTCCCCCCTCGTCCTTCCATCATCGTCCTCCCATTGTCGTCATGTTCCTCCTCGTCGTCCTCCTCTTCCCCCCCCTCCCGATCCTCCGCCTCCTCCTTTTCGTCGTCGTCGTCGTCGACGCCGTCGTCGTCGTCGTCCTCCTCCTCCTCCTCCTCCTCCTCCTCCTCCTTCTCCTCCTCCTCCTTCTGCAAAAGCAGGCGCCGAAAAAATTGGTTTGTACACTGAACGTGGTTTGGGTCGCGGGTGGGCCGCGGATTCTCCACCGGGAACGAATGCAAAAGATGCCCGCCGCAGGCGCCGAAAAATTTGGTTTGTACCCTAAACGTGGTCGCGGGTGGGCCGCGGTCTCTCCACCTAGAACGAATGCAAAAGATGACCGCCGACGGCGCCGAAAAATGTTGTTTGTACTCTGAATGTGGTTTGGGTCGCGGGTTGGTCGCGAGTTGGTCGCGGGGTGGGTCGCGGGCTCTTTACCTGGAAGGAATGCAAACAAAAAGCCCGCCGCAGGCGCCGAAAATGTTGGTTTGTACTTTGAACGTGGTTTGGGTTGAAGGTGGGTCGCGGGTGGGTCGCGGGGATGGGTCGCGGGTGGGTCGCGGGTGGGTCGCGGGTGGGTCGCGGGTGGGTCGCGGGTGGGTCGCGGGGTGGGTCGCGGGGTGGGTCGCGGGTGGGTCGCGGGGTGGGTCGCGGGGTGGGTCGCGGGGTGGGTCGCGGGGTGGGTCGCGGGTGGGTCGCGGGTGGGTCGCGGGTGGGTCGCGGGGTGGGTCGCGGGGTGGGTCGCGGGTGGGTCGCGGGGCGCGGGTGGGTCGCGGGGTGGGACGACGACAACAAACAACAACAAACAACAACAACAACAACAACAACAACAACAACAACAACAACAATCATTTAAGACTGGGGACACTCCGTTCTCACCAGTGCCAGGGTTTTCATAGGAGGCGGGCAATACCCCCACTTTGTGGGGGGGCCGGTTCAAGCTCTACCAAATTTCCAAACGACTCTTCGCCACCACCCACACCCAGCTTCCCGCCCTATGACGTTCGGACACTTCACTTCGTGGCATGCGGACGACCGTGGCTACTATTCAGGGCCCCGCGGCCGACGACGACGGCGTGCGCGCGCGAAGAAAAAACGAATGTGTCCCGCATGGTATTATTTGACAGGGATGATGGCCCTGGCAGGTGCGCAACCGTTGTCGCAGAAGTTCGAAAAAGTTGCTCGCAAAAGCCCGTTTGACAGAAATGTTTAAAAAGTGTTGGGTTTCCTACGAATCCGCAAGAGCGCGCGGGATGAGATTTTGACATTTTTTTGTTGAAAAACCATTGGTTTTTTGATGTTTTTATGTTAAAATCGCTGCGAACACTAAGGTTTTGGAAGGATTTCGTCTTGCGCGCGCGAATGTCCACTTTACCTTATTTTTTGCAAGGGATTCTTGAAATTTGATTATATTAGAACAAGAAATGTCATTTTCTATTGTTTTTTGCAAGGGAAAGCGGATTACAACAAAACAACCGGATCCTGTACACACCCTCTTTTCTGAGGCTTCCTCACGAAAATGATGAAAATGTAGCTGCGGCCTAGGCGGCGCAGGGGGGGCGCGCACCAGGGGGCCCAACAATAATTATTCTTTAGAATAAATAATGTTCAACAACAACAACAACAACCACAACCAACAACAACAACAACAACAACAACAGCAGCAACAACAACAACAACAACAACAACAACAACAACAACAACAACAACAACAACAACAACAACAAACAACAACAACAACAACAACAACAACAGCAACAACAACAACAACAACAACAACAACAACAACAACAACAACAACAACAACAACAACAACAACACGAATCCGCACCGCGGAATCCCACTTCAGCCACGCACCCAGGGACAATGAATGACCGTTCGGCCCCCTCACTCTGACATATCTATATATACACACACACAAATCCGCCGGCCCCCTCCAGGGGCGAAAGGCTGCGAAGGTCTGTGCGGTCTGTTGTCATGTATTAGTTGTCATTTGTTGTTTGGCGTCTTGTCTCTCCACTCCTCTTTCCTGCCTCCTGTTTAGTGTCTGGTAAGGGGCCCCGCCGCGCCACCAAACAGCCAACGGGGGGGTCTGAACCTCAAATCCAGGCTGCTCCGGGCCACCCCACGACTCTCATTGTGACGCCACCGCGCGGCCAGAGCGGCCCGAGAGGCCTCCAATATTGCCCGACGAGGCTCCGAAGACAGCCTCAGGAGGCCAAGACGGCCAGAGATGGCCCCAAAATGTCCCACGATGGCCCTAAGACGGCCCAACATGCTTCCAAGACGGCCCACGAGGCCTCAAAGAGGCCTCCCAAGAGGGCCCCACGAAGCAAGAATCAACGATTGTCCTAACGTTTTTGACGGATTTTGGACTTTTCGCCTTTTCGGCCTTCCGACGCTCCGAGACGGACCGAGAGGTTCCCAAGATCGCCCCACGACGGCCCTAGAAGCCCCCATGGCGGCCCCAGAGGCCCCCAAGACGGCCCCAAAACGGCCGAAGGCCCCAAGACGGTCCAAGAGGCGCCCCATACGGCCCAAAAGGGCCCTAAGCCTGTCTCAATTTGAGGTCGTCGCGGACGGTAGGTCTGGGGGTGGACCTGGACGCCACGACGGATGACTATGTATACTCTTTGCGGCGCTTGAGCCGACAACTCCATCGTCGGATTTGGCCGTCAACTCCATCTTAGTGAAAGGACTTGGATGTCAACTCCGATGTGACGATCCCTTTTGACGGCCTCAATCCGAATTGACGAACCCCCTTGACGGCCTCCCTCCGAGTTGACGAACGCCCATGACGGCCCCCCTCCAAGTTGACGTACCCCATTGACGAACCCCATTGACGGCCTCCCTCTGGGATGACGAACCCTCGTGACGGCCTCCCTCCGAATTGATGAAACCCCTTGACGATCCCCCCGCCGCCCCATCCGTCTTGACGAACAAAGCGTCGGGGACTAACTGATGGTTCAAAACAACCTCGGTCTTGACGAACAAAGTGTCGGGGCCGAGTTGGTGGCTCCTCCTCTCGTCTTGGCGAACGAAGTGTTGGAGCTGAATTGACGATTGCTTTCGACCTACCGAACGTAATCTTGGGGCCGACTTGGCGCCCGTGGTGGGAGCTTCTCCGGACATGCGCCGTCTCAGCCACTGGGTTGGACTCAAGTCCCAAGAGAGGCCCAAGATGGAGTCCACGAACCGAAAACTCGACCTTTCAGGTCCGAAAGAGCCACAGGAGGCCCCAAGAAGGTCCCCGAGGCCCCCAGAGGCCCCCAAGAGGCCCCAAGGAGACCCCCAACAAAAACCCAACATATTGTTTCCAAGGGTCCCCGAGGAGGCCCCCCAGAGGCCCCAAGGAGACACCCAAGAGGCCCCAAGGAGACTACCAAAAGGTCCCAAGGGGACCCCAGCGCAGCCCCCCGCACTAGTAATAGAAAGGCCGGCGGCAGAGGGCGAAGCCCTTAAGGTCCGGCCGCTCCCGCCCGGCAGGTTGGGCCGTGCGAGACCTCTCTGACACAGTGTCTGGTACAGTCTTTGGCCCCCTTCTCCAGTGCCTGGTCAAAAACCTCCTGAAAGTCCCTCCGAGGGGGCCCCACTCTGCCGCCGGCCCCCTTCAAGGTCTCAAACGGCCCGGGGACGACCCAAGGGCGCCCCAAGCCGGTCCAAGAGAGTCCCGAGCAGTCCAAGAGAGCCTCCAGACGGTTCCAGATCGCTCCAAGACGCCTAAGATGGCATCCAGACGGCCCAAGACGCCTCCAAGACGGCCCAAGAGGGCTCCAAGAGCACCCCCAAGACAGCCCCGAGAAGCAAAAATCATTGATTTTTCAATTGTTTTTGAAGGATTTTCACGTTCACGCCATTTCGGCTTACCCACGCTCCACGACGGCCCAAGAGGCCCCCCAGATCGCCCCAGGACGGCCCAACAGGCCCCCAAGACGGCCCCAAGACAGCCCAAGAGGGCCCCAAGACCGCCCAAGAGGCCCCCGGGACGGCCCAAGAGGGGCCCCAGGATGGCCCCAAGAGGAGGCCCAGAAGGGGTACCCGAATGAACATGTCGAGCTTTCGGCTCAAGAGGCCCCCAGGAGGCCCTAAGAGGCCCCCTGGAGGCCCCCAACAAACCCCGAGAGAGCCCCAAGAGGCCCCAAGAGGGCCCCAAGAGGTCTCCAAGAAGCCCCTGGGACGCCCCCAAGAGGCCCCTAAACTGCCCCGCAGAAGGCTCCGAGAGCCCTCTCGAGAGACCCCAGGAAGCGTCCATGAGGACTCCGTCCGACCCCAAACCCAAGCACGGTGGCGGGATGGGGCGGCGGCTATTTGATAGCTGGCATACGCGCCGCGTCACGACTTTCGATGCTGCGCACCTCTTCGAAAAACTCCCAGGGAGCGGCCGGTGATGCGCCGCCGGCGTCCTCGATATTACAAGCACGCAAGAACAATGCGCGCGCGTCTCGCGCGCTTAACCCTGAGCTCCTGGTAATACCCCTGGGGATTATATAATTCGGCGTCCAGGGGGGATAGTGAACGTTTACCCGGAGATCTCAGCATAATGATCAATCTGATGACGATGATTATGATCAAGATGATACTGAACGCTCATAATAATAATTGAACCAATCCATCTGATTCTTTCGGGTACCCATAGGATT